AGCGGTCTAGCCTTTCGACCATAAGCAAACTAACTGGAATTAACATTTTGCTAGATTTTGAAAGGTACTTCCTTCACTTGCTAAGTGTGTGTAGTAATTCTGTTGCTAAAATAGATGATGCCTATAGAAATAATAGGAGAAACTTTATTTATTTTTAGTAATAAGATGTTCCATGTGTATCTGCAGGCTACAAGTTCCTTAGTTCCAGTTAGAAGCTTTACTTTTGCACTGGACTAAACACTCACTGCAACTTTGCCACCGAAAATATTTGTCAAAAATCTGGAGCATTTTACAAACGCGCTGCAGATTTAGAATATCCTTCCAATACTTTTTGTCACCTATCAGAAAAAAAAATCAAATGTAAGATTGCTCAGACTGGATGGTGGTGAGCACTAGAAAGAAAGTAAAAATTTAAGCATCACCTCAGAAGAATAACAAGGTTCAGTTTCATTACAAGTCTAAAAACCCATTGGATTTAAAAGTTAATAACTGCTCCTTGGAAATATTTCAAGCGTGTACCTCATTTCGTTTTAAAAGCCAAATGAGTTATATAACACTAACGCAATGTTTTAGTAGAATGCCAAATCGCGGCGGATAGCACACAAATGACCTCATACGTTTGAAACAATAAAGCTATCTGATCAATCTTATATATATTTTTTTGGTCATTCAGAAAGAACTAATTTTAAGAGTGACCGACTTTATGGAGAAGTCTCGAAAAGAAGTGGTTGGCAAACCTTCCTTATCTTTTTTTCCGTAAGGAAGCACTTTCTTTGACCGTTGCTGCAATAAAAACCCGAGGCTTTGCTAAAAGAACAAACTTATTACAAAACCTTCCTCTTTCACCTGTAGGCAGACTCAGGTGAGTGGGAACTTAATGTTTTTTGTTCAAGAGTCGGACAGAGTAAAAATTTGAATAATCAGGTAAACTAGTTTTTTTGGAGGCTCAAATCAAAGATGCGCTGTTAAAAACCAAGCACCAAATCAAAAAATTTGCGCCAATCAGTAATGGACCCTCCGCTTGCCGCCTTATCTTCTGTTTTCTGTTTTACCCAGGAAAAAAGTATCACCATTAGATTTTAGATCAACTTTCAACCGGACAGGTAACATAGAATACAGTACGCGTATAACACTCTTCTAATATACTAATCGTTGTCTGATTTTCTGATTGGTCTTCTTGAAAAATCCACTTTCATCAATAATTTTTGACTTTTTGACTAGACACTCAGCTGTTCGTTGTGCTCTTCTCATTGGTTCACTTTACTGACTTAAGAAATTGAAGGTTTAGTGAGGGTTCTAAATCCTCAAAATCATATAACGTTTAACACCTTTCTACCATTTTGCAGTCGTCCAAAAAACTGTGTAAGCATCTATTTTTCGAAAGAACGTCTGCGATGATGCTGAATTTTGCTTATGGAGCTTTCCACCCTTACATGCCAATCAACCATCTTGAGCTCAAAGTCTCTTCTTTTTTAATAGGCTGCGGATAAAAACAGTTAGCAAAGCTACTTAAAAACCTAGCCAGCTAATGGAACCGTTAGGAGACAACTTCAAAACACCAAGCAGTAGATCCGGCCCAGGATTCCACTTAACCATAACGAAGGAAACCTATAAACACGCTAAAAACTCATAATACCTGAATAAAACCCTGAAATATTACCTACTACAGAGAATTTACTCTGCCTAAAATAAGCAGTTCCTAGCCTAAGTGAAAGCGTTGGGAAGTCCGCTTGTCCCCTGAAACTTCCAGTACAAACTGAAAATCTTAAAACATGTTCACATCTGATCTAGTGCTGCTATATAAATGTAACATTTTTAGCCTGCTCGATCAAAGCCGTCATGGGTACTATTGGGGATGACGAATACTTGAGGTGTGATGCGGAAAATGTAGAGGAAGAAATGCGGATGGAACGAATACGCCAATCAGCTTCTCGTCACAATTGGGCTCACTTCAACGAAGCATTTTACAAAAATCTCATGGTTAGATGCATTTTTTTCTATTCTTTTTTTTGAGAGATAGAAAGAAACTGCACTATTTCCCAGGGGCGTGGCACCTGATTTGAAAGATTAAGTTAATCGTTCAAAACCGTGATAGGTTACCGGTACATTTGATTTCCTCACCATATGACAAGGAAATTCACAAAATTGGTGTTTATTTAAGTTTTTGTGACCAGGATAAACGTATTCGACTGGACGCTAATGGCAAAGAAGACTGGCAAAATGCTATTCACTTTTTGAAGAAACAAATGCCTTGTGATGATAGTCGTGAAACTTCAGCACAGTTGCGTTATCTTGCAGAAAATATTGGGTAAGATTGCTGCAGTTTCCAATACATAATAGTTACCTTCGTTTTGTCAGAATGCTCTCCTTTAAGCGTTGCTGCGTGCATGTTGTATTAAAGCCTGTAGAAACTTACTGTTGAAACCTTCTCGAGCCTTCACAGTTTTCTAAGTTTGAAAAGCACCAAAAAATTTTGAACCTAAGCGGACAGAATTGATAATATCCTGTATGTTGCAAAAAACATGACTATTATTTTTTTTATCAAGAAAGTCTGTGTTCACTAAATTAGCTCAATACAGATTTTGTGCAGGTGCGACTTCGAAACGTTACCGAACTTGTTCAAACTGAAGAGTCCGTGCATCTCTCTAGAAATTAATGTTTGTGGTACAAATGTCGTTTCCTCTTCCATATCCATCTTCGGCTCCCCAATGAAGGAATCACCTCGACTAACTTCATTAATGGCTAGCCATCGATGGGGAACAATTTTGACGTCGCTTAGTGCATTACGAGGCCTTCTGCCTTCTAACTTAACAAGGTGAGGAAACTTTTGATCGAAGTCGCTCGCTGGGAACTCTAAAGAACCGTTGAAAAATTTAGTAAGTTTTTTGCAGAGATGAAAAAGATTACTGTTTGCGATCTTTAGAAATCTTGGAACGGGACCTCCAAGATACAAGTGCTAACAACTTCCCTTTGCTGGACAAGATTAACAGAGGCGTTTTAGGGCTTTGCTACCCTCGTACAGAAATATCCCCTTTCACTATTCATTTAGTTGCAGATCCGAAAGCTTTCTTTGACCCGAAATCTCCAAGCCTCTTTTCCGTAAACGAAGAAGGTACTTTTTCATTATGTCCCCTAGTGCTAAAATTGAGGAGAATTCTTTATTGAGTTTTAACACTCCAAAAGCTTAATTTAGCACTAATGGAAAGCCCGCTGGTGCCATGTGCGAGACTGTGCGTCTCTGCGAGCAATTCCCCAAATTTATTTCCCGATCGGTCCTTTCTTGACCCTCAGTAAGGAATTCATTCTTTCTAATTGGCTGCATGCAGTTCTTCATATTTTCAATTGGTTCAGAGGAAAATGGGTTTCTTCAAATACCGGTCGTTCTTTGCTGGCTGCATTTTGCTTACGCTTCGGTCGACCAATTATATTCTGTAGTGGCGCACTGAGAAAACTCTCAGAACTCTGTACGGGAGAACTTAAAGTTAAAGGAGGCCTCAATATTTACAGCTACCTGATGGGTGATAATGACGATGAAGTATCAGCTTCCTAACAAATTTTACACATGTTTACACCTGTCCTGTTATGTTAAAGAGTAGATAATTTGGTAATTATTCTAGAAGAAAACCGAGCTAATCGTAAAATTACCTGGGTGTGTGGTCCAAAGGTACGAGCTAGACGAATCAATGACCAGCACAATGGAAGACGGGATTGTTGAAGAGGTCCTGCCTTATTTTCTATAGTACTGTTCGAGGCCTGAAATCTTGCTTAGCCATTTCAAATCCACATTTCACTTCCAGATTCACTGACTAAATTTCAGCCTATTCCCTTTATGCTGAAGGAATTACAACTGCAAACCATCAGATTATTAACTAGCAGCCTTTTCAGATATGTTTTGCCCATCCCCGAGATGCGATTTCAATCGTGAACATTGTGCGGTCTCAGCTGACTCATAACTTCCTTTTTGAAAGCTTGGTCAGAGCACACCACCCCACTGCCTGTATGGATGGGGCCGTCCCAATAAGGCTCACTGTCTCTTCATTACACAATTACGAACTTGTTTTCGAAATGAATAGGGGCTTATTTATTGGTACGCCGCAATAAAGTTTAAAGATTATGCCGCCTTCGGCAAAAGCTAAGTAATTTGATTATTTTAAATAAGCAAATGCTGACTTATTTTAATTTTCGGTGTTTAGCTCGAGTTCAAGTTTTATCGCCAGA